AGCAGAGATACAATCTGGACCTGCGAGGGGAAAAGAACATCCAAAGCACGTAAATCAAGGTCCTACAGATGCGTCTTACGGCTCAGGATTGTGTCTTCCTGCAAGGACTGAGGCTGCACAGCTCCGGGATCCCCGGGAGGTGCTGCTCGGCTGCTGGGGCTGCAGTGCCACCTGCTGTGGGACGGGAACACCGGGCACACGCAGCCCCAGATCCCTGTTCCCATGCCCGGCCTTGGCACGGAGCGCTGCTGGTCTCCCGGGGCAGGAACGGGAGCTGGGGGTGTGTCAAGGGAGCAGGGCAATAAAAAGCACCCAAGGGTAGGAAGGGGTGGCCCGAGCTCAGCCCGGCTCCTTATCCCTCCGTGTGCACATGGGGGAGCTGTGAGCACGTGGGACATGGGGGACAGATCCAAGGTGTTTCCTGATGGGATTTTGTCGGCGTCTCTGGGCACTCGCTTCCAGCAAGTGCCTGGATGCCTACAGCAAACCTTCAGCTCAGCTGCTCCTGTGGGTCCACGCAGAGCACAGGAGGCATAACCAGGAGGTGCTTATGTTGCATCTGCTGCTGCAAGTGAAAGAGCATCTCTTGAGAGGGCCAGAAGAGTGGTTCAGGTGCACTTGGAGAGAGACACAGACACTCTAGACCCAGACAACACACAGGAGAGAAACCCAGATCCACACATTACTTTGAAAGTGCAGTTTCCCAGAAATGAGGGCACCTCACTTGAAACAGCATGAAACATCTCATCAGCATTCTTGAATCCCAGCTGTGGAGCTCAGGTACAAAAAATGATTATCAGACACACATGACACCAAGTTTGGAATCTGGGATATGAACTGAACAAACCAGCAAGTCCCTTTGATTCCATCTCCCTTCCCAGGGGAAGGCTGAATCCTCAATGCAGTCACAGCTACAGCACAACTTCTGTCACCTCCCCCCTGCTCCCTGTGAGGATGGAGAACCTCATCCTAAACACCCAACCCCTTTTTTAGGCACCAAAACACACACCTGGGCATCTGCAGCACCTCTTCTATGTTCTTGATTCAGCACAAGGAGGAAAGCTTCTGGCATGGTTACCTCTGACAAGAAAAGGCCCAGAGCTGGGTGTCAGTGGGGGATGTCTGGTACCCACCAGCTTCTACCTAAGGAGCTAAAAAGACCTCAGATGCTTCAGCCTGGAACAGAGACAGGTGACAGAAGCCAAGTCTGTAAGCTCACAGGCAGCACAGACAAGCCAAAGCAAGGGCCATTACTCACCTTTCCTCAGTATCAGGATGATGGATTAGCCAGGGATGTTTTCAGGCAATTTAGAAAACAAACAGGAAGCACTTTTTTCACCCCCACATAATTAAGTTGTGGGACACACTGACACAGGATGTCGTGAAGGTCAGAAGCACAAATGAACTCAAAACACCATCACACAAATTCACCAGAGGTAGTTTATACATGTCTATTAAGTGCAGCACTTGGCTCAGAAGTCCCTGCATTACTCACATATGGAAACTGGGAGTGCATCAGGGTAAACTGCTGGGGAGGATCCCTCTTTTGTACCTTTTGCTCCATTTACCTGGATTACCAGGGAGGTATGGGCCAGGCTAGCCTTTGGTCTGGTTGTTGCTCTGACGACCAGTGTCACCCAGCACAGCCCCAGCACTTCTATCTTACAAGAATCATTGACATTTCCCCTTGGAATCACCCCAATGCCCCATGTAGCCAGAATTTTTTCCTCTCACTTCACAGCATTGCTGCTTTTTCCTTTGAAGGGGGTGGGGAAGAAAGGAGAGAGGAAGCAGAGGTGACTGAAGCCAAAGCACAGCCCCTGAGGCACTAAACTAAATGCAAGACACATGTTCTTTAATTCTTGCTCAGCAGTTCTTCCGAGGGCCAGCACCAAGATGGGCCCCCACAGATTAGTGTGAAGCAGCAGAATCAAAGTAAAAATTAAGTTTGCAAGTTAGTTGGGGTTTTTTGTTTGTTTGTTGTTGTTTTTTTTTGGTGTTTTTTTTTTTCTTTTTAGGAAAAACCCATTGCCAATATAAGTTTCCACCATGGAATAGCAGAACTGGGCTCCCTGCTGTGCTCAAGCAGACTGCACACGTGGCTGTGAGAGGGAAGGAGCTGAACTGCTCCCCTGTGCCAGGGGTTTGAGTGCCAGTGTCAGACAGGGGCACCATTATTCTCCATCTGCTCCAAAAACACTCCCCCCTTGCTCAGTTCCTCCTCTCTCACTAAGGAGCCTTTGAGTTGATGCGTCAAAGGAAAAATCATCTCAGGGCTTTGCCTCAGACTTGGCCCTGGGGCTCAGGAGGGCCTGGTAGGAAGGTGCTGGTGCTCCAGGGACAAGCTCCTGCCCAGGGCAGAAGCTGTGGAGCCAGGAAGCCTTGTAGGAAGCACTCCTCATCCTAGGAAAGAGCCTGAAGAGGGGAGGGGTCTGGGCTTCCAGAGGCTGCTCAGCAGGGGAATGCCAGAGCATGCCTGGTGGCCTGTGGGAAGCTTTCCAGGCAGAAGTTCTAAATGAGGCATCTCCAGAGACATCATTCATTTTACCTGTAATAAAACTACCACTTTTCCAAGGGGAAAGCCCCTTTGAATGGCTTCAAACTAACCCTGTGGGACAGCTTAGCTCAGATGTGCATATGCACAAGCCCAGGTTTGCAGCCAAGAATTCCACAGCCCTTTGGGGACCCAGCTGGTATTAGCAGCAGTGTGACCCCTCCAAAACCTGCCCCAGCTACATTCCTGAGGTCTGGCAGGGCACAAAGCACCACCACTGCATCTTGGAAAGGGAGACGCAAATGCAACTTAATTTCAACCTCCCCTGTGCCTTCTTCACTGCTCTTTTCCAAGCAGGCCATTTTCAACTCTATCCCATCCCAGCAAAGCTCTTCACCCTTGTCCATAATGTGGACAGGCTGCCAAGCCACTGAAGTCACAGAGCTGAGGGACAGACAGCCCCCTTCACAGACACATGGCAGCTTTCTCCTCCTCTCAAGAAGAAACTCTGTCCAGGGAAACAGAACTGGCAGGGGGTTTGGAACAGCTCTGCAGCAGGGTACCAGGAATGTGCTGACCACCCACCCTGCAAGAAGCCAGCTACCCAATTTCTACCTGGGAGATGATGTCTGATGGTGAAAGCCTTCCCTCAGCAGATACTGGAGGCTAGCAAGACTTTGGAAACCCTGTGAAGTGAAGCTCTCCTTCCTGGGGTGAGAATGGACATTGTCAAACTTTCAAGGCTTTCTAATAAGTAATTCATCAGAAAAATAAACCCAGTTTTCAGCTGGAAGTAAAAGAAACCCTGAGAGATTTGAAGCTTGACCTTCCTGCATCTGTTGCAAAGCCATCAGGATCTTACCTCCCCTGCTTACACCACTGAGCTCCCTTCCCAACCCCACATGGCAAGAGGTCAGGAAATGAAGGCTCTTAGTCATCACAGTTTGATTAAGATGGCTTAAAATTCGAGCTTTAATTGAAATGGAAAGAAACATTCCAAGAGGATATATGTTTTATAGATTTAACTGAGTCACCAAATTTAGTTTTCATTGGATGTTACTGCAAACATGAACATTAAATCAGAAGTGCCAAACAGGAGAGAACTCAAAAAAAAGAAAAAGAAAGAGAAAAAGAAAGAACCAACCATACCATATAAGAAGGGATTGGACCAAATGCTTTTGTAGGCAACTATCCAAACATGTGATGCACTGACATGTTCGCTCATAGGATGTAGGGACATCCTTGAATCCACCTGAAAAAACTTGAGGACTAAGTACATCAACATTTTCCTGGCAAGTATCTTCTCTGCCAGCAATAAATCCCAGCTCAATACATATCTAAAATGATATACATTAGAGGGCCTGTGTTTAAGAGTATTAAGTCAGCTTAAATAACTTGAACAAATTTTTTTAAATGTGGTAGAAATCTAAAAAGGAGCAAAAAAAAAAATTGAGAGAGAACACCACTGCAAATTAATGCCAAGTTGTTACTTTTTTTTTTTTAAACAGATCTGTACAGCAACATAGCAAAGAATGCAGTGATCACAATTCAAACCAGACAACAATCTAAGGGAATGCTAATCCTGTATACAGCAGAGCTGAAACACTCCCAATATCCAGAGGCTCCAAATATGCTGGCTACCCTAATGCACTCCAAACCAGTTCTACCTACATAGGACATTTTGGTGTGAAAAAGTTTCTGTAAAGTTCCCTTTGTTTCCAGTGTTTTTTTTTCTCTTGTACAAAATATTACAATTTTTTAATATATATTTACAGACTTGCACAGCTAGAAAAATATAAACTACAATTGGGCTTGGCAATCAGGTCTTTTCTTAAATACATGACATTTCAGAGCAAAAAATGTAGTGGTAATATATCCTGCACTTTGAGCATCTGCACAGAGCAGCTTTGCCTCCTTGAGCATACCAAGCCTAAAAACCATGACTGCAGTGAGACATGTGCCACTCTAAGTGCAACAAATGCAATTCATTCACCTCCTGGCATAGGGAAGACAAGATGAATGCTGTTTGTGCAGGTTAGTGGCACAATACAGAAAAAATCCATAACTAACATGAAATTCCTTGATTTCATAGGCAGAGCCTGTTAAAAAAACAAAGGACAATCCATGTGACTTTTAGGAAAAGCAGACACCAAGTTCATGGGGCATTTTACATCTCTCAAACAACACAACCACAGGTGACAATTTGGGGACATTTGCCAGTTTCCAGCAAGCCCCAGGGTTTTCAGGCCTTTTCCATTCAACTTTCGAGCAGAGGCTAGGGAGGATTTTTTGCTTTAAAGCTACAGTATCTGTCATTATGGCTTTGAACACCCCGCCTTTCACTGAGATGAGGTATGTGCTTCTAGTGAAATGGTAACAGTTGAGCAAAACAAGTTTCAATGGACCACAGCTCCACACTCAGGTGTAAACAGGTTTTCTTGGGAAAGGTTGCCAAACCGAATTGTAACAGTGCAACACAAGATTTCTTCTCTTGTTTTGTTCTGCAGAAAGAGTTGTCGAGGCATCTAGGACATTGCTAGTAGTCAAGCCACTGAGCAAAACCTCTTTCCACCAGAGTTCTGTTTACTGACACCACCTAAAGGGAGGTGGAGGGAAAAAAAAAAGGTAGAAAGGTGAACAAACCACTAGCAAGGAACATCAGCAAGTTTCTAATCAACAATGAAAAGTCTGCATAAACATAAACTCTAACAGTGCTGAAAAAAATAGGTATGTCAACATACACACCTCATCTCCCATCAAGTTCCACAGCTGTATCAGTGGCAGACCTGTTGCACTGTCATAATTTGTGACCTGGAAACACAGGAAAACATTGGTTGGCAGCAGTTCTGGTCTGAGCCACAGAAGATGCAAGGTGAGCATCAGTCACTGCAGATCAGATCATCAACACTTGAACTCATGTAGGTTGGATGGAATGTAGCTACTGCCAGGAGGAGCTGGGACACAAGAACCCTGCCCAGCAGCCAGGCTCACAGCCTCTGGCTTGGGTTTTGATTCTGACACACACAGTGTGGTGTGATAGGGCAGAGAGGGCAACAGCAGAAGCCAAGTCACCAACGAGGCTTTTCCAGAGAGCTCTGACATACCTGAGCCACCAAGACTGCACCTCTGGTCATCTCACTAACAGCAGCATCAGCTTCAGCTGAAAAGTGATCCTCATCTGTGGAAAGAAAAGAGCAGGAGGAAACAAATGACATTCACAGGCTATAAAGCCCAGAAGGGACTATTAAACTCATCTTGTCTGATCTCCTACACAAGTTAAGCCAGAGAACCCTCACCTACTGTTGCTGTAGGCACTTGCTGAAACCAGTCCATTAAGCTGGAGATCACACAAGCATCGTGCCTGGTGTTGCTGTAGGGAAGGATGGAGCTTTCTTTCCAAAGCCACTAGCTAAGTGAACATGAACACGAGTGGCTGATGAATTAGGAGGTATGAAAAACAAAAAAGTAAACTTTTGCAGTACCTTTAAGCTGCCATTCATATTTTGATTCTTAGTAAACTAAGCTCAGGGTTGTCAGGACTTTACTGCCACTGCACTGAGGGCAATACTGTCAAGAGGAACTCAAAAGCTTTGGTACTGCAGCTGAATGGGGCCAAATGCTCCCTGGGCAAGCACTGGCAGCTCCAGTCCCAGCTTCCCTGGGGACTGCTGCAAACTCCACACCTGTCATGCAGCAGGAAAACCTCATGTTTCAGGCAATACAGCGACAATCTACACTGCAGATCACACTTAAGTGTTTTCATTTTGAAGGAAAGTTGCTGATTCCCTACCAAATTGCTGGAAAAGTGTTTCTCCTCTGTGCTCCCCACCCTGAGGCCATCTCCAGCAGCAAGAGAACTTCATCCAACTCCACAAATACTGAAGGGGGTAGATTATCTCCATAACACTGACTTCTGTAAAAGCAGCTTCAACCTTGCATGCACCTACAGTCTTGGCAGGGTCTGTGCCTCCTGGCCCTGCCAGCCACAAACCCTAGTGGGGAAACCTGGCCTGACCCTAAGCTCCCACAGCCACCCCTTCCATCCCCAGAAGGGCATTTGTTGGACACCAACACAGCTCATAGCAAGAGCACTGATAGGAAAGAAAGAAAAACAGCAAACCAGGAAGCATTTCTAGGCAATGAGTGACCTTCTGCCAGTGCTCAGAGGGCAGAGTCTTTTGAAAACAGAACTATACACATCAGTCATTTTAGTAGGAAAATATCAGATATTTGTCTAGCAGATTAAAACTAAGTTTGCATTTACAGCTACTCTGTGACAGAAAGCCACAGAATAGTTACAGCTCCACCATCTATACCCTGCCACTCCTGCCTACGTGCTGTTTTAGGAGAGTAATTCATCCTCTCCTCCATGCAGGAAAGAGTCCAGACATTTATCTCCTTTCCCCTGGAGTCTGACAGCTTAGGCTGTGCTAGCACATTTAGAAAAATAAAATACATTTTTTCCAATTCTTGTTCTAGTCACAGCAGAGGCTGTGCTTGCAACAGGAAGGCAAAAGCTTAGACAGAATCATTGCTTCTACACAGCTGGCATCCATTTAAACCTGCAGGAGGAGTGTCTGGAGAGCTCCATTACCTGGAAGTGGCACCACGTTGTCTAGTAAAACTTCTGCCCCTTGGAAAGGTAGTGATAAAAAGTCAGACCTTAAAAGAAAAGAGAAGCAACCAGAATAAGAACGTGGCTTTAGGTTATGCTTGTATACTTTAAGGTGGCATTGATGAATCAATTGCTCTATTAGAAATTCAGTTTAAAATTGATGACAGTAAAATAAAAAAAACCAACACACTATTCTCCCAGCAAAAACCACCTTCATATGCTCTTCCATCTCTGGGGCACAAGCAAGTATCTAATGGGCTTGTGCAAAAAAACCCTCATCTGGTACAGCTTATCCAGGCAATGGGGCTGGGACAGAGAATCTGAATCTTACTCCTAGCTCATCAATTCACCACACTTAGGGGTGAAGACATCCTTCTTCTCACTTTCCACACTGAAGTGACAGGAGTTGCAATCTCCTCTCCCTTCCCCTTCAAACAAGCCTTGCTGTGCTCCCAAGGAATCCCCACCCACCGCTGAGACAAACCTTTCTACCAGTTCCTGCTTCGGCTGTGGAAAAACCTATAAGCAATTCAAATGAAAAAGATGCCTCTGATGAAGACTCAAGCCAGATATGGCCTCAGGCCATGGAAGAGGAGCTAGAGACCTGATTTGTCTGAGTGTGTCGACCTTGACTTTGTCATATCCTCCATAGTCCACATATCTGAGCTCCACTTCACCGGTCTCTTCGAAGTAGCTAATAACTTGAGCCCGTAACCATGCCCCATCCAGGCCTGGAGCTGCACAGATAATACCCACTGCAACACATAAGAGAAGAAAGGCTCAGCACAAGTAGATTTCCATAAATCAGCACTTCAAGCACCAGCAGTGCTGCAGTTACCTGCTGAGAATCAACAGCATTTCTGATGCTGCTACCACCACCTGTCAATACCCCCCAAAACCCCCACAGGACGAGGCCTGCAGCTGGGACACAGGACAGATGGGTTTTAGTCTCCAGTCTCTGCCACTTCCATGCTGTCCTACCCAGGCATCCAGTTCCCTTTCAGCCTTTGGTCACTGACACAAAGATCTGTCTCCAAGGAGTAAAGGAAGGGCTGATAACCCCTTCCATTCCACAGACCCTCCACTTCACCCCATGTGCAGGCACTGATGATCCTATGAAGATTTGGGAGCAGTTCCACACTTTGTCAGCAGAAATACACCAGATGCCAAGTTGATTAGAAATAACTCAGGGTGGACTTCATCTCATTTTAATTTCAACATGCAACTAAGTGACTGGGGAGGTACTCCAGGGACGAGTTAGGTAAGCAAAAGTAGAGCAACATCTGCACTCTGGCAGCAACTTAGAAGATGCAATGACAACTGAACTATCACATTCTCATCTACTGCGAGCTTCTGAATGATCCTAGAAGTTGTTTCTCAACTGAACAATTTGTAAGCAACCAAGTTACTTGCCTTCTACTGGAGTTGGCAGGGTTGGAATTTCAGGTTGAGAATAGCAGGCATACATCTGCTGGTCCAGGCTACGCAAGACGTGGAAAGTGGGATGTGTGTGCTGCTGTAGAAACATGTGTCCTGCATCAACTTGGTTTGCCACAACCACCTCTACAGTGACTCCATCTGGGAGGAACAGCTGTGATGTGGAGGAAAGACACTGTCTTTAGTGTACACTGCAACACAAGCTTCATCCACAGCAACTCCATGTTCCACCTGAGGCTTACAGCCATGGGTGGAAAAGCCTTGGCACTCTGGTATTTCACTTTCAAAGGCTGCTTTGGATCAGGAGGGATCTGGACAGGCTGAGGTCCATTATAGGAGATTCAGCAAGGCTAAGGGTCAGGTCCTGCTCTTGGGTCACACCAATCCCTACCAGCTTGGGGAAGTGTGGCTGGAAATCTGCCTGGTGGAAAAGGACCTGGAGGTGTTCTCCAGTCTAAAGGATTCTATGATTCTACATGTCTCAGCTCAGGTGGAATGGAAACAGTAGTGAAAGAATGGGTAGATAAATCTGACCTGAAACAGTTACACAAGTTGGAGAACAAGACAGTCAGACAAAACCAACCGGGTTTTGAGGGCATCCATGAGCCAGCCACCTGGATTATAGCACACTATGCTGGTGGTAACCAACAACAGCCTTGCACCCTGACACCAGCACAGCCAGCAGCACGGGGCTTACCCAGGCAGTCATAAGGAGGGAATGAAGTGTCAGCGGTGTTGGTGGAGGTAGAGCATAGATGTTGGTGAGAGACAGCTCTTTGAACTTCTTGCCAATGAGGCTCAGTACTTTTTCCACTTGATGAGATGAGCCTGGAAGACAGAAATCCACCTGAAAGTCTGTTGCACAGATGTGCTGAGGACATTCCCTCCCCATGAAGCAATATAGACACCAGAAGCCTTCTGTGCTACATCAACAGCTTAAGTTTTAATAGATTGGCCATGTAAGCTGCTATGAGACCAACAAGAGAAAATCAGACCACCAGGCCCCAGCTTCAAAGAGCTTTAGCCGCCAGTATGAAGCAAATTCACACAACTTTTCAGACACAATTAATCTAACATACTTCACAGGCAGAACTACATTTGCTGATATACACCCCACAGCTTCTCCTCCAAGCCTGAACTCACCCTGTAAAGGTGTTGGTTAAAATACAGCAGCCAAAGATGCTCAAATGCATTCTCACCTCTTGAATGCCAAGGCACAGGTGACTTGGCACAAACCTCTACCATAACAGCGTAGAGCAGAAAAGCTTCATAAAGCATTGGATTCACAAAGCCACTAAATCTGTTTAAACTCCTTGCCCAGCTAATTAAGGCCCACAAGCTACATATGAGATCATGAATAGAGACATTGCACTAACCTTCAATGTGACAGACTTGGGAGTCACGGAAATAAGGCAGTGTTGCAACATAGATTTTGGCACCAGACGCTTGCCTCAAGAAGCTCATAAATCTTCCTTGTTTGCCAATCAAGCGGCCAACTAGCTCCTTTATGGAAGAGACAAGGAAGCAACAGTCAGGAAGAGAGACACAGGTCATACAGCAGTGTTTCTGGGGCTTATTTCACCCACATTCCCAGTTCCTGTAGTGTTGAACTATAAATAGAAGGCAGTGCTGGACCAGGGCAGAGCTCAGCTGGTCTGTGAGGAGTAAGGTAACTACAGATTGGTATTGATAGGTCCATCTTCATCTCTTGTAGAACAACACACAGACACAACAAAACCAGGCCTGGTAAAGGCTTGGCTTCCTACAGACCAGTAAGATCACTGGAAGAGCCTGCCCAGGGAGGTGGCTGAATCACCACTCCTGAAGGAGTTTAAAGGACATACAGATGCGGTGCTGAGGGACATGGTTGAAGCACTAGACTTGGTAGAGTGGGGTTAATGGTTGGTAGAGTCAGTTTATAGTTGGACTTGATGATCTTAGAGGTCTTTTCCAACCAGAACAATTCTGTGATTCTGTGAATCACATCCTCTTCCAATCTCCCACCACTGTTTCCTGTTATAAAGCAAGTTACAGGCATTTTCCATTCCAATACGAAATACTGAGTTTTAGCAATTTTTAAACAAATTAGATTAGTTAATTAGATAAGGAGCAACAAATTCCCAGAAGAGTAAACCAGACTATCATACCCCTCAAAATTTAGAGTCCCTGGCAGCTGAGCAGGGTGGTGAAGAGATGTCTGTGCAAGCCCTGTCACTGGCCTTCTACCACAGGCACCTATCAATTACTGTCAGAGACCAGATACCAGAGCAGAAGGGCTGGCCTGAGTCAGTATGGACCACACAAGGTCAAGTGACCTACTTGAAGAAAAGTGAGTGTCTGTCTTCACTAACTACTGAAAGAGTTTTCTGCTGTGGAACTGCTTTCTTAGCCTATGTTTTTCTGATGCATTAAAACATGTGTTGCATGTCACCACCGGGCTGATGTGGCCCAAGTGCTCACCCTGCTGGGAGCTGCTGCCTCACCTGACTGGCCATTGGTATCCAACACTGTTGAGAAGCAGAACTGCAAGATCAATGCTGTGCAGCCACAGGTTGTTGTGCATATAAAAAGCAGGGAAGAAGGTATGGATACAGCCTTAAAAACCACAATCTCTGTCAACCAAAAAGTTCCCCATAAAGACAGAGATGCAGCAGCTCCACAGAAGAGCTCAGATGAGCATTCAGCCTGAGGAAGGGTTTGGACAGACAAGTGAAATGTTACCCTTCTACACAGTGGAAAGAAAAAAAATATTTCATCACCTGCTCTTAATAACTGTGTACAATCAAAGCCTTCTGAACACTTTCAAAGCATCAGACTAAGACTGGGGTGGAAGACAATGAGGAGTAGTAAGTCCAACAACCAGTGTCACCCTGGGCACAGCCCTGACATGCATCTCATTTACAGCTCGTCACTCCTGTGAGTCCTAATGGGAGCTAAATGCCTAAAAACTCATTGATTTGTTGTTGATCTCCCTGGGATGGCTGTGAGCCAGCAGAAGACTGGAAGAACCAGGAGATGGCTGTGTAGAGGGCAGGAGGCACGAGCAGGCCAGCAGATGGTTACCTTGGGGACCTCTATTTCCCAGATAACGAAGTCGGACTTGCTGGGTTCTCCTCCTAGCTTAGAGTTCCGCCGAGTCACTGTCTTCCTCATGGCACAGCCACTGTCCACAAAATCCACGCTATTTATATCTGAACCTACAAGACATGCACACGTGTCAGCATTCAGACAACCCACACAATCCAGCTACCAGACACAAGGCCATGAAAACAATTTCACAGAGAGGTTACATTTAGCTCTTCCGTGGTGCAATGTTGGGCTGTTCCTGTGTCATGTTCTCTGGCATTTCAAAAAAGGGTCAAGCCCTGTCACACACACCCTACTCAAAGTTTCCTTTCACTCCTGGAGAAAAACTTGCATAGCTTCTGAGAATGCTAAAGGAGGGGGCTAGAGCTCAGCAGGAGCCCTTCACACATGGTGACACCTTACACAGCAGCAGAGACACCAAAAGTCAAAGTTTCCAGCTGAATGAGAGCTATGCTACCCTCAACACTGAGCTGCTGCAGCAGCAAGGTATTTTGCACTTTCCACAGAGCCTCAACAGGAATTCAGCACACAGGGAGGGACATGCCACCTCTCATCTGCTCTTTGCATGTTCCTGACCCAACATGGGTTGCACAGAGACCTGACTGTCTGGCGTGCTCACTACCAGCTGTGTTAGGAATTGCCTCTTGCCCAAATTTGTCATATGCTCAAAGAAACAAGGTGCTAGAGCTGAGCTACATTTTGTTCCCAAACCACCAGCTGATACCAGGAACACTTCTACTTGGGAAGTGGACTAACTCAAACAGCTTGCTCTGGTCACATTCCAGATACAGTCATGTTGATCCTTCCTCTAGATTAAGAAGCAGCAGCATGAAGATTCTCAGTTGCTTGCAAGTATCCAGACCATCCAGTGCAAGACCAAAGAGAAAAATAACCCAACAGCTGCTTCACATTTGCCACATCTTAGCTAGAAAGACAGCACAGATGCATAGAAAGCCAAATACAGACAGTGCAGCTGTTTGCCACAGACTTCCTAAGCAAAGATGAAGATTTGGTCTCACAGCTTGGGGGTGAAGGCTGACTGTAGAACTTTTTATCCAACATAGACACAGTCAACTTTACCTGCTCTATCCCCTCTCCCTACTCTTCAGCTGTCTCACTGCAGAGCTCTCAGCCCCTGTCACCACCAGACTCCACAACACACTCTTGTACTTTCTCATCATACCAGTGTTCACAACGAGTCAGAACCATTTTCTTCCTGTGGTTACTCTCACTAGTGAAAATGTTTTGTGGGTTTAATCCTTAATTGTTGGCAAACTCAATCCCCATGTCTGGCAACAAGCAGTGTTCATACTACTTTGTAGCAATTACAAAACACATCCTGTCATCAAGGGTTGCTGGCACCACAGGGCCCTACAAAGGATTTTAACATCCATCCCCAAGGTCACAAGGGCTAACATGTGCTCAGCTTTGTACTTTGCCAGGCACACATTATCCAGGATCTAGAAGGCCTAAGCAACATAGTGACAGATGGGGAAACTCCATGAACATTGCTCCCTGTTGGGATTTCTTGGCACGTACCTACCCTTCTAAGCAAAAAGGCTTCAGGATAATTGGTCTACAACCAACTGATTGTATCAGAATCCAGCCAAGCACTTCATTCAGCAGCACCTCAGAAACCTGCCTTACAACTTCCTTCTAGCAGCAGCCCATAAAGACAGATAAGAACCCACCACTTACCAGAGCCTGAACTGGGCAAATACCGTTTCTACTAGCAGGTCTCAAACCAGCAAGGTGTTCAACAGTCTGGCCTACATGCAGACACTGTCCATTCCAGTGGGCTACTTGCTTAGCTTTACACAATAAGGTTGGTGGAAGGGAACCAGGGGCCAGCCTGTTCTCCCTTTGCAGTATACCCTGAGGATCACCCAGCTAACACTGGAGCCTAGAGAGATGGGAATTCTGACAGCAAATGCATACCCACCTGCACATGAGGGCTAAATACTCATCTGCTGGGGAAGTTAAACATAAAGAGGATTTATATGAACATGTTCTGAAACAGAAAGGTTACAGAACATAAAATGCTTGTTCATCATGTTTTTGTAGAAGGATTTTCCAATCCCTTACCTCCCGAGTGGTCTCCATCCATTTCTGGTGCCCTGCTACATTCATGATGCAAGTCTGGACCATCCTCTTCCAGTGTCCCATTACTGTATGGCACTTGGCTGCCTTCAGGTAGCTTCAGAACAGGTTCTTCACTTGGTTCTGAGCTCTGCTCAGCAGATGTGTCTTGGCTTGTAGATAAGCTCAGTGAGTCCAAATGCTGGCCTGACGTGACAGACAGCGTTGTGTTCTGCAGTGGGTCCTCCACCCTTGACCCACCTTCAGATACATATGTGCTGCACCCAGAGTCCTCCATAACCAAAGCTGACTTCTCCAGTGGCCCTCTATGGTTTTCCACAGGAGTCTGATCAACTCCTCGGGACCCACTGCACACACGGCTCTTCCTCCGACAGTCTTTTGCATCTCTCTGAACAGGGCAGGAGAAGCAGCCGTGTGAGGAACAGCTGGAGCCTGTCACACTCTGATCCTGCTCCTCTGTCTGCAGGGATATCATTCTTGCAGCATCACTCTTCACAGCAATGTCCTCCTCTGTTCCTGCAGCTTCCTCCACAAGCACCTGATCAGAGGTAACAACACTTGCTGCCTTCAGAGGCCTCTCAGCTTGGCTGGCAGCAGCCTGGCAGATCTGAGTGGACATGTCACTTGCAGAACCAGACAGCACTTCCCCACTGCACGCACAGCTCTTCATCTGACAGTCTTTTGTGTCCCCCTGAACAGGGCAGGAGAAGCAGCCATGTGTGAGACAGCTGGAGTCTGTCACACTCTGATCCTGCTCCTCTGTCTGCAAGGATGTTGGTACTGCAGCATCACTCTTCACAGCAACATTCTGATCAGCTGCTGGAGCATCCTCCACAAGCATCTGATCAGAGGAAACATGGTTTGCTATCTCCAGAGGTCTCTCAGCTTGGCTAGCAGCAGTCTGGCAGATCCAAGTGGGCACATCACTTGTAGAACCAGACAGCACTTCCTCAGTTGCTGCCAAAATAACCTTGGAAATTATCTGTATTGCTACTTGCTCAATTTTCTCAACTTCTTCTTTGTCCAAACTTACTCCTCCCACCTTGTCTCTTTCCAATTCATGTCCTTTTGGCTGTGTGTCCTTCTTCTGACACACAGGTACAGTTCTGGCAGTTGATTCAGACATCTCTTCTTTCCTGGACTGCTCCAAACAGGCAGACCCCAAACTATCTGGTAACATGTTCACTGCAGAATCCTTGTGACTTGATACAACTTCAACTTCATTACTGAGAAAGGCTTGTGGGGTATTGGCTTCCTTCTCTAATCCCAAGCGAGGGGCTGTCACAGAGCCAGTATCTGACAGCACAATTTCTGGCACCTGGCTTTCCTTAGGGGGCTTAAATGAAGACTCATCTGACTGCTCTGCATTGCTGATCTTCTCCGTGATTCCCAAAGACTCCTGTGTCAGTGTCACTGATGCTGTTGGCCACTGGTGTTGGTTTGCACAAGGGCCTGAATCCCGTGCCAGGCTGATGGCAGCACCGTCGCGACACTGCCCGCTCTTGGAGATCAGGAGGGGAGAAACACCAGCAGCAACTCTGCTTTCATCTCGAGATCCTATCGTTTCTAGTTTTTCACTGTCGTCCTCAAGGGTGCTGGGCTGAACTGTAGTTACTGACAGGCCTGGAAGGTCCTGTGGGAGATCTGGCCTCTCGTGAGTGTGACACAGAAGAGAGGGCGTCATCAACCCCGCTGAGAGCAGGGAGGTCGAGGGTTTGTTTTCTGGGCATCCCTCTTCCGAGGAGAGAGGCCGTCTTCGAGGAACACATGCTGCTGCTTTGGGTGATGAATCTTTCTCTTGCACTTCTTCCTGCTGCTCTTCTTTGATGGCTGTCACTGGTTTGCTGGGAGAGCTGGCATGTTTTTTTCTACGGGAATAGATCCACCAGTAGCCGAGAAGCGCCAGCACTCCAGGGATGGCATATGGGAGGACGCTGCGGAAGCGTAAAGCCATTTTACAGAGCCTCAGCAGTTACCTGGAAGGTGAAAGACAAACCATGTTAGAGTAGTCACAGGGAAGGTAAAAGGAAGGCTAAAGTTTCATGAATGCTTTGAGGGATTTCTATGGGCATGAACAGGCTTGTTTTCTTTACATTCACTTCTCTGCTCAACCAGCAGAGCACAATACAAGATTCTCACCTAAGACAAGAGGATATCTGGACATTTCTCAACATGATACTCAGCAATTTCACCTCACCTTTACACTTAAACCAATTTGACCTATTTCTCCTGCCTCACCTTGGCAGGTCAGTGCTACACACCAGCACAGCATCCAGCAGTGCAGGTTTCTCCAGCACCAGGCTGGGTTCACAACACAGCTGGACCACAACCGTGCCAGGACACACTCGATACTCTGCAGGTCTCCCCAGGGCTCTGCCTGAATGGCAGCATCACATTCCTGAGAGTCTCCTAGGCTGACAACACACACTTATCTACAACACAACAACTCACTGAAGGTGAAGTGCTTTGCAAACGTCCTCGTCCCCAGCACTGCAGGAGGCTGGAGCGCAGGCACAGGACAGAGCTCTGCAGTTAAGCAGAAGCTAAACAGCAACCACAGCTACTCCTTCTACTGCAACACACACAGTGTAGAAACTCCAAAACAAAGAACAACTACAGCCTGAAGATGGGAAATAGGCTGTAACACCCTTATAATCACATAATGTTTTGAGTGGGAAGAGACCTTAAACATCATCTAGTTCCAACCCCCTGCATGGGCAGGGACACCTCCCACCAGACCAGGTTGCTTCAAGCCCCATCCAACTTGCCCTTCAGCACTTCCAGGGATGCGGCAGCTACAGCTTCCCTGGGCAACCTGTTCCAGTGTCTCACCACCCTCACTCTGAATAATTTCCTCCTGATGTCTAACCTAAATCTCCCGCCTTCCTATTTTAATCCACTACCCCTCATCCTCTCACTACAAGCCCTAGTAAAAAGTCCCTCCCCAGCTTTCCTGTAGCCCCTTCAGATACTGGAAAGCCACTATGAGTTCTCCCCAGAGAGATGTTTGTCCAGCAAAAATCATCAGGTTAGTAACATTACTCCTTAGGAACCTAGCTCCAAAGTTTGTTCTATATCTACATTTACTACACTGGCAGCTGCTGCTCCTCTAACTTTCTAGAGTTGAAATCTGTCTCTTTTACTCTAAAAAGTGTGTGAACCCTGCCTGGACACCACCAAGACCCACGTCCCTGTCATGCTCCTCCATTGCCAAGTCTCACCTGGGTTATATAGGGCAGGGCTGACACGCCTTTCCTTTTCCTTAAGGAAGATCTACAGCTGGAATACAAAGCTAAACAGTTATCCCTGTCCCCAAAACAGCATTGCTGCCAAGCACTTACAGTTTATATTATCACTGAACAGGAATTAAAGCAAAACACCACGTGCCTGAGGATGCTTACACACGACATACTTTTCTCCAAACAGGTCTCCAGACTTTTACCAATGAGCAACCAAAATAAAGACTGTTTTCAGGAGATAGCAAAGTCCTAGAAATGGGAACCGCCTACTGGGAAAGAGCATTATCTAGTTCCTCTTTATAAACCTAATATTTCTTGGATATGAGACAATCAAGTCAGTCTGTTGACTGTGCTTAGTCAGTCTCAACCAGAAAAAAAATTATCAGAGCAAGAGTTCTGACCAGGGCTACCAAACAATTCTCCTTCAGGGCCTTGATTTTCACGAGCAGCCAATTATTCTCTAGCTGAGGGACACAAACATGCCTCCCTCAGGCTCAGACTGAGCATCCAAGCCTTTGATAATTTAACATTCACTCCAGATTTCTCACCACCTCCAGCCACACCCTCCCATCCCACAGGAACAAACACACAGCTTTGTTTCCAAGTTAGTTCGGGTATCAGTCTTGCTCCTGTACTGTTCACCAGGGCACTTATGATCGAGGCAAGTAAATAAATAAATGGCAGAAACAGCTACTAGAAAACTTCTTGCTCAATCCTAAATGAAAGGTTGGCTCTAGATATGATTTACAAAATCCAGTAATATCCCCAGGATATCACAGATGAGGTATTTATGTTGTTTTATACAGAAAACTAGACTGTGATTACTGGACATTCATATCTGGTACCTTCTAAATCCAAGTTACTTCCAGCTGCTTTTATACAGTCAGGGAGCAGGGCTCACTGATGAGGATGAACTTTCAGTTAACAGCAACATCTAAGATTTAGAACTAAAAAAACTCCAAACCTATGCAGTAATTTAGATGTTTAATTTTTAACTTTGTAAATGGAAAGGGTGAAGCCAGGACATTCCCAAGACAAAAGGTTCCCATTTAGGCTCACCAGCACAATGGCACATTGTGAGCCAACGGCAAGTGCTCATCTGCTGCCTGTTTAAGTTGTTGTAATTCACGCAGAACCACCCTACAAGCTGTCTCACAAGCACACCACAAACCCAAATTAAAGTAGCTCACACAAGTCCATTCCCAGCAAGCTTTCCTGATTAAACAGAGAGCCCTATTATTATCCAATTCCTTATTCAGTTGCACCAACTGTACCAACAACAGTCCCACACAATTCTGCAGCGCAGGAATACAGTAGCAGGATGCCCCAAAGAGGGACAGGCCTGTCCTGAAGCCTGGCAGACAAAACAGTTCTAAGGAGTAATTTTAAACATTAGTATAATTTAAGATTTAAATCTTCACTCTTCTGTAATATTTAGGTCAGTGGGGACTGGTGGATTAGCTGAATGCTCCCTGCAAAACTTACTCCATTTCATGGTTTTGATTTGACTAGTTTTAGCAAGAGCTGCATTATCCTGCCAGTGACTGTCTTCAGTGGGAATTCCACAACCTTCCATCAAGGAGAAGGAGACAAAAGGCAGTGGCTCAGCACAAGATGCCAGTGACATCCTAAAGCACTGGGCTGGTGAGGGGACAACACCAACAAACATCTTACATAAACATGATCAGAAGACTTTGGTGGCCTTATTTTAACATGCCGGTCACAACACCCCTTTTGATGCGATGCCTGGGAGATGGTTGCTTTTTAAACTGCTCAGCCAAACAGTTGTAAGACACAGGGCACACTTATTTCTCCACAGGAGAGCTCCTCAAGCCCACATGTGTTTTCCAACATGTTAAAGAGTGACAAAACCCTCTCTCTATTGCCAACCTGACAGCCAGTTTAGGACTGCAGGGGCAATGGGAGCATTTAAACACACAGAGGGAAGAAAGCCTGGGATTTTCCTGCTAGCAGCAGAACAGAAAATGGCAACTTGTCAAATCACATGGCCTTAAGCACTGCCAAAGTGGAGGGAGCCTGGCCCGAGAGTCCTTGTACACTCCAGGCAGGAGGAGTCAGCTGGGGAAGCACAGCAGCTCCAGAGGCTTTGAACTGGAGATGATCGGCTTGAAAAAGCCAGGACCAGCATGAAGCACTGGATGCTCTGGAGCTGCTTCCAAGTGTCCAGGGCCCCATGCAGCCCCACACCAAAAATAGTGCAGAGCTCACACACTGTACATGCTCACCCTGCACCACCAGTCACTTCCTTCTGGCATGTCAGGAATCTGGTCTAAATGTCACACCTTACAGCAAGGCCAGAGAGCTATAGCTAGGACATGAGACTTTTCCAACTTGTTAAATAATCCCCACAGGAGGTCAGGATGGGATTAAGACACCATGGGGAGACACAGTAGGGGTCAGCCAGCTCTCCAAATCTGTATTCTGACTTGATTTATGGAAAACTCCTGGTAAAGATGAGGGAGATGAGGACAAAAACGAATGCATGTGCTCGCCTACCTTAAAAAAAAAAAAGCCAAGGACAGTCAACTTATTCTACTTATTCATATTAGGGTCCCAGAAAAGTTTTAAGCCACCTTGTTTCCCTAGGCAGGACAAACAACCCTTCAGTATACACATCCTTATAAGGTTAGAAATGTTTGCAGCAGGCTCACAGAGAAGGCAGATAATTCACTCTCAAGGTCCAAGAGGAGAGTTCAACAAGCACTCACTCCAGATTTTCAGGGCTTTCTGTGCACAAGAAGCTCTGTTCTGAGGGCAAGAAGCTTCAGGTCTCTACAGGAAGAGAGTCAAGGACAATTCCCAAGTGGCTGAGCCCCATGCTCTGCAGGGACAGACCCCAGAGTGCTGCTGGTCCCCTCCAACACTTCTCTTCTGCCCCAGCACCTGAGACGTTACACCTCCAGACCCAAAGAGCAGTAGAAAACAAGGCTGGAATTAAATACCATACTGAAGGATCACAGGGCAAACAGGCAGCTGAGTTAGAAAAGCAGCTTGAACAGCAAGGCCAGGATGCCTCCCTACAAACCCTTTAGTTAGCAATACAGCACTCGGGAAATAAATACTATCTGGGTGAAAGAGAACTGGACAAGGCTGGCACAGTTCAAACTAAATGGGACCACGTGGGCTCTTAAAATTTTCCATGCTAAAAATAACCAGCAGCACATGCTCTGCCTTGCAGGAGGCATAAGAAGAGGAGTTGACAAAAGCATGAAGAACTGGAGGGCCTAACATTAAGATAAAAATAAGAGAAATTACTGCACAGAAACAGACATAGAAAGACTTAATTGACCTACACTTATGTTACCAGTATCAAAACAAACATCAGCCATAGGTGAGAGCTCAGAAAACATGACTCAGTAGCTACAAAGATCCAAAGACAGGTAGGAGCCAGGCAAGCAAGATCTCAAACTGGATGGCACTTACTTTAAAAACAAGTGAACAGGTAAGTTCCTCTAAACATACATAATTAAAGGCAAATGCTCTGCAACAACTTATGCTTCAAACAGCAGCACTGAGACAAGAGCACCAAGAGATACCCCTTCAGCAAAACCACCTCTTCCCAACCCAGTTAACATGGGCAGAGCTCAAGAAACCGCTTATGAAAACTACTAATGAAGCCTCTCAACCTTGAAATATTGAAGAACCAACAGTCCTATTCGCAGAGGGATAAATTATGACATAAGTAAAAGGCTGA